GACCAGTCTTGGTCTTGGTCTCGCCTTAGTGTGTCTTGGTCTTGATCTTGGACTTGGTCTTGGTCTTGGTACCCTCAAGTCTCGGCAGTGTCTTGGTCTTGATGTCCTGTGGTCTCGGCAATGTCTTGGTCTCGGTTTAGGCGGTCTTGACTCCAACACTATCTAATATCCAAACAGTTTGACAGATTTTCAGGTTAGTGTAAATTTTGTATAACAGCAGAAACCGTCTTGGTACCTGATCTGATAAGTCTATGTCTTTTAGCCATAGGGTCATGCCAGATAAACTTGGTGCATCCGTTCGTTTTGGTCAACTGTGACTGGAGGCAGATCCAAGTCAGGTGTGATGATAGAGGAGATGCCTGTGGATAGTCACACTCACATGTATATAAGAGCACTTCAGAGTTACATTTCATTGCAGGAATTTATTCAGAAGATGCTTTTGCAGAGTGAGGCAAATATCACGTTACAAACATAGGGCTGTCAATGAATACCCAGGTACAGATGTAAGTAGTATAGAGGCAAGAGCTACACAGCATCTTCCAGACAAAGCAAGAACTTAATAAGACTATTATTCAAGTCAACAGAAAGTGCAACACTGAGAGAATTCAAGGAACATAGAGGGTGTAGGTCAGTAGAGGTATTTCTGGAACAGATGGCTCTTGGAGTGTTCCGTGAAGTTGGATAGGGTGTCTGGTGACCGGATGTGGTTCTCCAGCTCATTACACAACCAGGGAACCCCACACAAGAAACATCTGAAGTGAGACCTCTCAAGTGATGGATGGATTTCCAAGAGACATTGGTTTGCTGGCTGAAGAGGGTGTGATGGAAGACATTAAAACTCACAGAGAGCTTCAGATCAAACTAGACATCTGCCAAGTAAGCAACCTTCGCCCAGAGCTTTTTATTGTAGTCTTGGCATCGACTTTTATATGCCAATATCATAAACTTAACTTGTTTACTTATCTGTGCAGTAGTTGCCTGTCCTCAATGCTATGGACAGAATTACACATATAATTTTAAAAAACGGTTCGTGTGGCCTCTCATACTGCACAGCATTCCATGTCTTCTGTTTTTTTTTTTGTCTGGGTGGGGCTGAGGATTCATCCATCCATCCATCCATACCCATTTGTCTAATGCAGAGTTGCGGGGTCTGGAGCCTATTCCAGAAATGATAGACACACAGCAGGGAACAACCCGGGACAGGGTGCCAACCCATTGGGAGGGGGGGAGGGGATGGGCGTAACAGTTTAAATGCCAGGCCAAATGACTAAGCTGATCACTCTGGAATTAAAATGGCTTGTCTGTCCAGAAACACTCTTGGTAATGAGGTGAAAAAGCACCATCCATATGTGTTCATGGTCGTTCCCCTTTGTTTACGGCTGTTGCTGCTTGTTTATGGCCAGTAATGACACTGTGACACTATTGCACTACTGGCAGCTACACAGCAACACATACTGGGATCTCCATGTAGCATCTGGCAGCAGGGGTCTCTCTGCTGTCCAGAGAAAGAGGCGCATGTGGCGTGCAAACCGAAGAGGGGCCCAATTGGCTCTGACAGCTTGTATATGCATTTTGAATAAAGAGGAGGGATTTCGTGTTCTGACTAGCAGAGTGGCCATTAGGCAGTGTGTCTGGGCTGCCCATCTTCCCATTTCCATCCTGGCTCTACGGGGTCAGCTTGTGGAGGGTTCTTCAGGTACCGGCAGCATGTGGAATGTGTCAGTCCAACAGTCAGGTATGCAAATAGCTCCATAAGACCTCTGTAGTGCCTTACACGACCATTTTAAAGAAGTGCCCTTGTCTCTCTGTAGTGCCCTACACAACCATTCTAAAGAAGTACCCTACACGACCATTCTAAAGAAGTGCCCTCGTCTCTCTGTAGTGCCCTATACGACCATTCTATAGAAGTGCCCTCGTCTCTCTGTAGTGCCCTATACGACCATTCTAAAGAAGTGCCCTTGTCTCTCTGTAGTGCCCTATACGACCATTCTATAGAAGTGCCCTCGTCTCTCTGTAGTGCCCTATACGACCATTCTAAAGAAGTGCCCTTTTCTCTCTGTAGTGCCCTATACGACCATTCTAAAGAAGTGCCCTTGTCTCTCTGTAGTGCCTTATACGACCATTCTAAAGAAGTGCCCTTATCTCTCTGAAGTGCCCTATATGACCATTCTAAAGAAGTGCCCTTATCTCTCTGAAGTGCCCTATATGACCATTCTAAAGAAGTGCCCTCGTCTCTCTGTAGTGCCCTATACGACCATACCTGAAGTGCCATCCTACTTCATTGTAGAACTCCATGGAAACCCATAAGTTTCATGGTCTTATTTGCAAGACCAGGACAAAGAGGTGTTCTTGACTTCAGTCATCTCCACAAAGTATGATTAGCATCAACACATTAGAAATAAGAATTAGTGAAATAAAAAATAAACCTGTTACCGATAGATATTTATGTGTCTTGGAAAATGTGTGAATACCAATCCCTCCCTCCCCCCCTTTAAAATGTGCCTCACATGGTTTCAATCTGCCCAGTGATAAACTCTAGATTTTTTTTGCTGCCAAATATGGTGCATGTTGGTTTGAGATAGCAGACCGGAGTGGAGGTGGACGGTTTGTTTGTGCTTGTATGTATCCAGGCAAACCTCAGCTGCATCTAGAAACTCAAGAATATCATGACAGCCATTACAGAGACTGGAACAGAAGGTAGAGAGCAGATTGTTTCATGGATACTGAGACATAGGTTACTGATCTCAAATAATGACCTCCAATAGTTTGTGTGTATGGAATATCTCCTGTTTCATTCATCCACTGAAGATTCTACATGCTTTTTTTGTTATGTGGCAAACCAGATACTGGACATGTTCAGGACAAGTTTCTGGTGGTATGTGCAAAGCACGATAAGGTGTATTGTGCTGGGAGAAAGTGTTGAGAAGTGAAAGACGGAGAGCATGGAGCTCCTCCTTCCTAAATGCCATCTCCTCTGCTAAGGTATCATGCAGATACCAACTCGCCAGTCATAATCCTGATATCGCCCTCTTCTATCCTGCTGTTCTGCTAACAGAAAGTCCTACCGAAATCCTTTGAGGAAAAGAGGGCAGTATTAACTGTCTCCAGATGCCCCCCCACCCCCCCAGTTCAGAAAGCCTGTCAATAACAACCAGCTACCTCTACCTACTGGTAGCTTAATAATAGACTGGACATCATACAACTTAAGTATAATTATTCTCCTGGTTGATGCAAACAATGGAGCCTTTGCTGAGTCATACTTAGGCATGCAGACTGGTGTAGTGCTGTCACAAGGAAACTCGACTGTATCCCTGAAAATAAACCGAGGTCTGAAACTTATAGACTTATAGATTTAGAAAAACGTATTGTGCCAAAGCAGTAAAGGTTTCTTTTCCAACCATATAAAAGACCTTCAGAGAATTTGACTTTTCATACAAAGTCTATAATTTTCTCTAATTGACACCAGTTTAAAATTTCATCTGACATTATATGTGACTTTTACAGTGTTATGCTCTAATCAGAATGATTTACATACCTTCTCCAATTCCACTCCTTCATCAAACATTTAAGGTAAAGCTGTTCTTAATGCCCTTTTCAGGGTTTTGAATATCTTTAATTGGATTAATGATTTTATACTATCCTCTGCTGTTCTCGTATATTATTAGCATCTTTGATTTATAGGACTAAGTTCTAAAACTGTATTCTTCTGCAGAAGAGCTGGCAGTGGAATTGGGGTGAGGGTTAGTGACTGTAGAGGCAGCCATGTCCTATGGATTCCCAGAAAACCAGCTGAAACCAGCTATCCCCCATATTCTTACTAAAGTTTTTTTCTCCTTCAGGCTTCACACAGATTTGCTCGCTTTTGGGTACCGTAATCTCACACTCCACATAGCTGTCGGGTTTATTTCGTCCGTGGTCTCCGTAAATTTTAGTTTGCTGCCAAAGAGTTGACATCAACAGCACATAGACCTAAACAGTAATGGTAGTTTCCTCACGTTTCAGTTAGTCGTCTATCCTGACATATAAAAAAATTCCTAGTGTTAAATACTAATACAATAATTTCTTCAACAGAACGGCAAGCCCTGGGCACCACTGCGTTTGGAGAAGGAGCTGTTTGTGGGCCGGAAATTTAGTGTTTTGGCTAATTCAGGGAGAGAAAACAACTTGTTCATTGTCCCTAGTGAATAAAAGTGTGCAAAATGACATTTAAAGGCTGGATCTCCGCTTCCCCTACAGACATGAATGAATGCGAGGAGTCGAACGGGGGCTGTGAGGCTGAGTGCTGCAATACCATTGGCAGCTTCTACTGCAGGTGTCCTGCTGGCCATGAGCTCCAGGAGGACGGCCAGACCTGTCGGGGTAGGTACTCTTTGCTCCCTTAACTGGTATAAGGCTGGACTGGTTATGGTTATTTAGCACATGCCTTTGTTCAAAGTAATTACTGCTAAGGGTCTTACTCAAGAGCACAAGGGTGACATCACTCTCCCAGCTATGGGATTTGAACCGACAACCTCCTGGTCATGTGTACAGACTCCTATCCCGCACAGCCGCACACTGCCCCGACCGCACAAGTGGAACCACAATTTAAAAAAATTCCAGTAGACGACTCAGTTCCCAAACTGGACAGGGAACTCCAGAACTGATGAAACGACAGGTTTACAATAATATATAACTAAAAGAAAACTACGGAACAAAAGAAGCTAAGAAACCAAGCCACAAGAGAGAATCAGAAAAGCGAATCAGTGGTTTTGCTTACAGGAGGACAAAAAAGAGGTCTGGCTGGGCAAGTGGAGAAGCTGAAAAGACCTTGTAGGACATTCATAAGACCATTCAGCCTTAGCAGGAAATACTATAAATATTAAAAGTAATTTACAGACTATATTAAATCCAACACTTAGGAGGACCTTAAGGATCCCCACAACGCCTCACACTACTTGAATGCACTCTTGATTAGATATATGGTTAAAATAACAAGCGAACTGGCAACCTAATTGACAGCTGGGCACAAAGGAAATGTACTTCACTACGGTAGCTGCAATGGGCCAACTGCAAAGCAGAAAAGGAGAGTATATTAAAAAACGTATAAAACTACAGAAGCGGCAGTATTTTTTAATATGGTGAATATACTACATAGGAAGAATAGTGCTTCTGTCTGACAGAATTCTTGTTGCAGTGCGTCAGCTGGCAGGAAAATTCAGGGAGAAAGTTTGTTAGTATGGATTACATCCCCTGAAGAATATGAAGTGGATTAGCAAATATATGGGTTTCCAGCCTAAACAAGGGATTATAATTTTATGAAATTACAAATGAAAAAAGTAGATACAGGGCCTGTGTGTGAAGGAGGGTGTTTGTTTGTTTCCAGTTCTTTGCCTTTCTTCACTGCTGGAATAGATCTGGTTTTAAGGTTGACATACTGATTCAGTCTGTATCCACTGTTTAACATTTTGGAAATACAAACTTATAGCCACAAGCAAATGTTGCAGTTGTGGGTTTTTTGATCAGCATGTTTTTCATTGGAAAAAAAATCTACTGTAGAAACTGAAAAAAAATCTGTTTTTGTTTGTTATGCACATATTTTGAAATTATTGGTAATTGAATATATGAAGAAAATATGAATGATGTTTTTCTGTAGCCCAAAGGACAGCTGGTGGAACGTAAAACATTTCATAAAGGTATTTTTGAGAAAGTGGGTTGGAGATATATGATGCTTTTGTAGATGTTATGAAAGCTTTGTTTAAAATGATCCTGTCAGGTCTAATGTAATTAATAATAGATCCGTGTGCGTTATCATGAAAATGTCCCCATGTACTGGCTTTAACTGATGATTTCCTGGAGAGAGAAGTGATTGCTGACAGGGCTTAACCCTGTGATCTCAACCAAGAGGATTTATGACTGCAGATTTATGAGTTCAGCATATGTTGTCCAGGTTTACTTTGTTGTCTGTGTTGGCCAGAGATGTTAACCCCTCACGTCATTATAAAGTGGTAAAAAAAATGCAGAATGTTACCTGAGTTAGCAGTTGGAGAAAAGAAAAGAAAAGAAAAGAAAAGATATCCAAAGCCTTTCAAATGGCTGCAGTTCTATTATGTTTTATTGCAGCTACTTGGATGGTTCCAGGAAGGATGGATGGATGGGTGAATGGATGGATGATGGATAGACAGACAGGACAGACAGACACAGACATACAGACAGACACAGACATACAGACAGACAGACAGACAGACACATACATACAGACACAGACAGACACAGACAGACAGACAGACACATACATACAGACACAGACAGACAGAAAGACAGACAGACAGACACATACATACAGACACAGACAGACAGACAGACACATACATACAGACACAGACAGACAGAAAGACAGACAGACAGACAGACACAGACAGACACAGACATACAGACAGACACAGACAGACAGACAGACAGACAGACTATACCAAGTCTCCTTCCCAGCCAGTTTTCCCAGGAGCTCTCCTATTTGTGTCTCCTGTCATTTGATTTACACAGCAAAATTTGCTTCCCTTGCCCTCTTGCCACTGCTCTCTACCCTGGATGATTCTGCGCTTGTTTTGCCTTTCAGACATCTTGCTTTGAAGGGGAGACTGTATTGCATTCATTTTAAATGGGAATGCCTGTTGCCATTTTGCATTTACACTACCAGTCAAAAGTATTTCTACATCACAGGCTTTTACCAGTTTTCCATTTGTTTCATACACTGCAGATCTTTTATTCTTGTAAAGCATTGGAAAGTTGTATGAACAACTATAAATGAAAATATAAGTCAAATAAAACAAGTTTCCTTGATAACAGGGAAAGAGTATGTAACAGTTCATGTCCGACATCCTATTAACTGTTTTTGTGTTGTGATGGCAGAGTCAAATTCTAGGCTGTCCTTTAACTTTAAATGCACTAGTTAACTGTTTCATCCCATGAAACAGAGCAGTATTTAATGTCCCTGGTAGAAAAAAGAATGCCTTGAATTTTCTCTGTTATTATAAATGGGATATTTTGATGAATCAAAGATGACATTATCTTGCTAACAAAGGTACTTTAATGGTGAACATGCTGTAAATTTATTTGTTAGCAAATTGAGTGTATTTTTAGTAAATGTGAAGTGAGTAACATGCAAGTGTAGAAAATCTCAAAAAAGTTTTGGCTGGTAGTGAATGTGAAGTCCGTAACCTTAGTACACTGATGTACCTTTGATTTGTCCTGGACTTGGAGAGGGATGGGAGAGGAAGATCTGCTGCTGCTTCTGTGGGTCCATCTTTGTTTTAAACGGCAGCTGTTAGTGTCAAAGCCAAGTGGAGCCACTTTACATGTTTATGAGTGAGCTTTTAATGGCGAATTTTAGTGACGAGTGTGAGTTAACGTTCTGCCACGTGCTACGACTGTTTGTGCCACCCATCAGCCGGGTGAATAGTGTGGATGGTTCCTGCCGTGGATAATCCCTGTTTGAGTTATAGCCCTTTGGTGTTCTGGGTCGGGGTAGTAAGAAAGGCGTCTTGTCTTACCTTCAGTTTCATTTACTAATCACTCCGTGTGTCACGGCTCCCATAATGCAACACAAAATAAGTTACTTTATATCCTGGTGAAAATTACTATAGTGCCTGAGCCGCATGCATGCTGGAATTTCGCTCAATGGCTCCCGTGTCCTTTTACTCTGAAAATGTGACTTTTGTGTGTGACTGTCAAACGAACAAAGCTTTAAGCTCAACAGTGAAAAGCATTGATTCTGTGGAACGCTTTCCATTGCCTGTGTGTTTTTTTCTAGATTCCACAGAAGCTAGAAGCTCTCTTTTGGGCTTTTAGTTCTGCTCTGTCAGTGTGACCTTTGACCTTGCACCCTGTCCTGAAACTGGCCGGGCATCCTGTTTTCACCTCGACTGGCGCTGAAGGAACTGTAAGTCCTTAAGACATCAGGGCGTTTTGATCTCTTCCAGGCACCTCCTGGAACACAGCATTCTCTTTCTTTTCCTTAATGATCAGCCAAGCTCAGCATTGATTGTTTAAAACGGAGCAGATTTCGTGTGTGACTGCGTGGGGACCCGGGGGGCATTTTGTAATCTAATCTGTTTTATATTTTTCAACGATAAAAATCTCAGTCTTACAATCTCCTTTGCTGTAGCAGATTATCTGGGAATAACACGCCGTATCCCCTTTGTTAATAAGAAAAGTTCATTTCATTTAATGAGGGTGCAGCGGAATTCTTCCTTTCGTGTTCTTGGACTGATTACTGTTCCATAATAAACCCAGTTTGGTAGCTAATGTTCGGGTTCCTGCCAAAATTGTAAAGCACTGGCTGCGACCCCCCCCCCCCCCCGACCCCCCCAGGCTCTGCATGAGTTACCCAGAAGTCATAAAGGAGAGCCCCCCGCCTGCTGGAGGTGACATTTCTAGCCAGCACCTTGTTATAGGTGTCCTGTGACTGTGGCGACGTGCAGTACGTCCTTTATTTTGTTTGTGGAAGCAACTTGAGGAGTTACTCGGTTGTTCTGAAGTCACCAGAAGGTCCTTCCTCTCAGTCCAAGAGCAACAGCAATTGACTGGTGGTATGAAAACGATTCATGGTTCCAATTTCAGATGCAGACGGCTGCAACTGCAGTTATTTAAGTGCAATTACTTATTTTTAGTTGTGGAATGGGAAGGGTGAGACAATTTCTGAAAAGTTGCATGAGATATTTTTATTGCGTTATGAGTCATGTGAAAGGATGTAAGACGTGGCTGTGAAGTTCAGCTCCTGGTCTGCAGCGGCGCAAAGGGGCCCCGTGCGTCTGTCGCTCTTCTGGTTTATTGTTGCACTGATGCACCTGGAGTTTGTCTGAAGTGAATCAAAAACTGAGTATAACTGCAGTGTCACCATTACAAGTACACTACTGCAGAAAGGCAGAACCTGCATTTTTATAAATATTACTTCAGCTATGCTCGGCTTTGAAGAAAACACCATAATTTACCTACCTATTACACATATGGGTGGACAGTCAAAAAACTCTGATGCCCTTTTTCTCTGCTTTTGTAGGGCAATACAGACAACCTTGGACTGTCCTACCGTCCCTTTCACTGCTAGGTTGGTTGTATGTTTTTTTTTTTTTTTTTAAGTAAAAAATATATATACTTTTTCACCTACAATATTCTCCTTAGTATTGTATGAACTGAAAAACATTTATTTCAGGAATGATTTATTAAGACAGCAAATGAAATGCTACAAGAGAATTCGGTGAAAGAAAAACTGATACATTGAATGAATACATTGGCAAAAAAGAGACTAAACATGGTCATTGTTGGCTTAAAGGTTAGGGAAGCACATTTGTAACTGAAAGAGTGCAGGTTCGAATCCCCTACCAGCAAGGCACTACTGAGGTACCCTGAGTAAGGTACCACCCCCAAGCACTGCTCCCTGGGCGCTGAATTAGCTGCCCCCTGCTATATCATGGTGTCACATATGGGTTAAATGCAGAGGACACATTTCATTTTTGTGTGATGTGGTGTGTTGACAATGACCACTGATCACCAAATTCTAAAACATTCAATTTAGAGTCTCAGCCTTAGATTTCTTTTTTGGAACATTTCAAAATAAGCTGATCCAAGGTGCCATGATATTTGAATAGCACAATCCCATGGTGAATGAATGTCAACTCGAATTGAATTGAATTGAATTAAAGCAACTATTGGCGATCGGGGTTGTTTCATTTGAACAAATGCAAACGAATGCCGTCCTTTTCGGCTGTAATGAAGCTGTCTGTGTACTGGATGTGTACTGGATGTGTACGCTGTGTATTTCCTGGGTGTTTTAGCTGTCTCAGGCCCCTTGTCCAACATCTGCTTCTATCTTGTAGCCTGGATGCAACAGAACAATGGTGATGATGATGATGGTGATGATGATGTTGATGATGGCCTCACAGTTTTGAGTCTGCATCTTCACATGAGGGATACAGTGGAAGAAGAGAGGACAGGAGGCAGGGTGTGGGAGGCTCTACCTGAAGGAGGAGTCTGTGGCCAAAACCCACTGTACAGTGAGAGAGATAGAGGAGGAGGAGGAGGTCTCAGAACTGTATTGGGAGCCTAGGAAGCAAACACATAAATCAGTGAGGGAGGGAGGAGGCTATAAAGTCACCTTGTTTGTAAATGCTGCACTGCAGCCTGGGTTAAAGGCTCCCTGACCAGCCAAGAGGAAGCAATTGGCTGGGAAGTTTTTCGCACTGGTGTGACCTTCAGTCCATTTGAGTGTCACATCTACAAGACAGTCGCTTGTTTTTCCTGAGAACACGGGCGTGCGGCCATGATGACAGGCGGACAGCTCCTGCTGAGCCTGGCTTGGCTTGGCGTTTTGTCGGGGGCAGCTGCGGGGGTCGGCCCCTACATCCCCCGCTACCATCAGAGGAACTGCTTCAGCTGTTTCCAGGTATACAACCAGCGTAACCGGGGATACTTGGGCGCAGGTGAGTCGCGTGGCATGCCGGTGTGTGTGTATTTACCTGTTATGTGGGTTCGAGGTGCGTGTTTCTGGATGTTTTTCAGAGCACGTCCATATGTTAAAGAAGTCAGTTATTTCTGAATTTCAATCATTGTCTACCTTCAGTTAAGGTCCTCCTAAGGTTGTTTTTAGCTGTAATTGTACTCTCAGCTTGTGCTGTTAACGGTTTCCAATTCGTAGATAACTGATGTAAGCGACACCATTGGGTAGCTCTGTGTAGTGTCTCACTCTGGTTTTCTCAGTATGACCTTCCTTTGAGACAGAGTGGAAACTCTGAAGTGAAGATTTGCCCATGTTCATGCAGTGCCTGAAAAAAAATACCTAACCCGAACTTCATCAGTGTGGACAATTTAAATTCCAATAAGTTTTTTTTTTTTTTTTTTGCTATGTTTTGTTTATGATCATGTGTCATAACAGCATGCAAGATTTAGCTTGGATTGTATTGGTAAATACAGGGTCCGTAGCTAAAATCAGCAGTGCAGTTTTTGAATCTTGCACGGCAGCGTCCTGTTAGTGTTACAAGGAGAGAGTCTGTAGCACAAGAATTTCATTGTATTCTCCGAATACGCCTGACAGTAAATCTTGGAACCTGAAATAGAAGTGAAGCACCTGCAATTTGTAAAGACGGGGACGAGTCAGCGCGCCTGCATTCCAGGATACCTTAAAAAGGGGCTCACACGTTCTCCAGTAAATTATAACAGATGCCAAGATGCCACGAGACTGTGAAATGATGGAGTTGCAGAACGCCTCAGGCTTGGCCCTGTCGGCCTGCAAAGCATGCTGGGAGTGGGGTGGAACCCTCGGTTGAAGCGTCCTGTCTGACCTTGTCTCCGTCAGGGAAGTGGGTATTCACACTGATGACTAAGTGCACATTCCACGTCTTCCTGAACCTTGGCTTAACTGGTGGAGTGAGTGTAATTTGAAGAGCATGTCCGTTGTGTGCGTGATTGTTGGCAGTTAGATGCTCTTGCATGACTGCTGGTTAATAGATGCTCTTGTTGCGATACTTTATTCCCCCTCTGCCCCCGGTAATGAAAGGACACAAGCTACTAACACAGCTGTTCTGAGTTGAGCTCAGTTTTGGCTGGGGGGGTGTTCCTGAAGAATCTGATTTGTCATTTTGGAAATGGCTAGTTAATTTCTGAATTTCCCTAACAAATAGCCACCTCACTCCAGAAGGGCGACAGGCTCCCTGTAACCTGCCCCCCACCCTGTGCCAAAGACACCTTCAAAACAGCCGTTAGTGACCTTATTCGGGTTCAGATTTCCAGTTCTGAATGTTGGGGGTGTTGCTTTCCCCTGTTATCAGATGGGTGTCAGTTCGAATCCCAGGTTTGGCAGAGTGAAGTCACCGTTGGACCCTTGAGCGAGGCCCTTAACCCGCAGTTGCTCCAAGCAGCTGAGAACTTGTTCTTTAATGTGCTGTTGTGAGGTGGCCGTCGTACAGCCCAGTGTCCTGGGACTGAGCCCAGCTCGGCCATGATTGCATCTTCATTGACAGTGTGCTGATTTGCTCAGGTTGCTCCAACCTCCAAAACCTCCATCAGTCTAAGTGAATTGAGAGCAGATTAAGACTGAGGGGTGTGGCTGTGCCGGTCATTCAACATCCTGGGCTGCTTTCATTGACTGTACCCCCAGGGGTGTGTTCTGCCTATCTGTCTGTCTTCACTCATTGCCATCTCTCAGTTTCCATCCTAGAATTCAAACTCCGGGAAGCTTTTGACTAAGCATTTATCAAGTGAAGCGCTGTGTAAAAACAACGACGGGGGCTATTTAGTGATTTGGTGTTGGTAGGAAAATGGAAGATTTGATTCAAGGGACAATTTGATTAAACCGTAAATACAAACATTATGTTTCACTGTTGGAACATAGTGCAGTGTGCCAAGTTTTTAAACCTGATATTCACTAATATAACTAGTATAAGATGTATGTAAAAATGTTTTTAAAGAATAAAATGGGGGAGAGCAACCTGGCAGATAACGAAGGCAGCTAACGGGCAAAACCTGATTCCTCTCCGCTCCTCCGATGCAGACGTTGACGAGTGCCAGGTCCACAACGGCGGCTGCCAGCACAGATGTTTGAACACCCCGGGCTCCTACCGCTGCGAGTGCGACGTGGGATTCCGCCTGCACGTCGACGCGCGCACCTGCATCCGTGAGTGGCGCCTCTCGGGTTGGGGGCCGGCAAGGAGCCCGACTCCGTTCAGCATCAGGGTGTAAAGCGTTTCTCCATTTGACAGCTTCGTGTTGCGATCGCAGCGCTGAGCGTTGAAGCGCATGTTCTCGCTCAGCGGGGTGGACGCCTGATTCAATATTCACAATAATTCCCAATACGATGTCCTTTTACCTACTGGTGTCCTTACCGTTGAATGATGTATTACACGTGAAAGCTAACAATTACTGCTGTTGGCACTTTGTTCGTGCTGGAAGTTATTTACATTCTCGCAATGTTTTGGAGAAAAGTAGTCATTCCACCCCCCACCCCCTGTTACGTGAGCAGACAGCATCTATAGCCCAAAGGGAAATTCGGGGAAATTGAGAACATACCTCTTTTACCCGTTTTTTAACACTCAGGTAGTAATGTATGTATGTTTACGTGTCATTCTGAATTGCATTTTAAACCCAGCATTTTGCTCCAACCTGACCCATCTAATCTAATTAACGTGCAGAATAAACAGAAATGCAATGTATTCACTGCACATGTTGAGAGAGCACGTGGCTTCCTCCGCGCTTCACTGAGCGTGTGAGACGTCCTGCCCCCCGTGGCTGATGGCTCGCAGAACCGCAGGACATCGCTTTGTTTTTCGCCGCCTCCGATTCCCTCCGTGCCGTGTGACCTGCATTGTGTAGAATGGCCAACAGGTGGCAGGAGAGCTAAGGCCCCCACGGCCTTTTCCAGCTGCTCTTAGCGAAGTCTATAATATGCTGTATTTGATTGATTAGTCTACACAGAACAGATTTTTGTTTTTTATTGTAATTGATTCTTTTTTTAACAAATGTTTTATATCTCTGAGGGGACTTAGCGACCGTTTTATAATTCTAACTGTACACTTCTTTCTAATCCTGCCCCCCAGCGGTTCACTCCTGTGCGGTCAGCAATGGAGGCTGCGAGCATGACTGCGTCCCCATGTCCCCTGGGCACTTTCGATGCCGCTGCAGGGACAGCTACGAGCTGGCCAAGGATGGCAAGCACTGCCGGCGTGAGTGAGCGTTTCGGGGGGGGGGGGGGCACCTGCTCTTCTGAACTTCCAGCAGCTCTGTGTACTGCAACCCCTGGCAGTGCTGATGCAGCCTAACATTGTTACTCGGACGTCAGTGAGACAGCTGAAGACTTCAGTCTTTGGTCCGTCTGGGAGGAGCTTCTCTGTTCAGGGTCTGAAATCCCGGCTCTGAAGCAGCTCTAGGTTCTGCTCTGTGGTCATTAAATCACTCTGAGGGAGATTTGCAGTGAGCTCCGGGGCCGTCGGAGTGCTCAGGCCATGTCGCCCTGCTTGGGGGGGTGTGGACTCCGGCTGCGCTGGGGCCGGTCGTCCCTCAGCCACACGGAGGCTCCCAGCAACTCTGGGTCCAAATTCTGACGGAGACAGGACCTGGAAGTGATTAGCAGTGGTAATTCAGTGATCCCCCCACCCCAGATAATCCCAATTACCGCCCTTCCTGTCGCAGATCCGGGTGGGGATGCGGGGGGGATGAGCGGGAGGAATGCAGGCTTGGAACTCGCAGTAGGTGGTGGCTTCCAGGTGCCTTAGTGTGTTTGACCTGGATTTAAGCAGACAGGGATCGGAAGTGTGTGATGGGCCCCACCCACAGAGCATTTGTGTGCAAATGTTTCCCGCAATATAATAAGAACCTGCTTTTTTGATGTTGGTGGGACCATTTTTGAGGTCACCAGAAAGATCTGTGAATGCAACCAAAAAAGTAAAAAAAATTAAAGTCTCGTATTTTGTTTGGTTATTTACGGTTAAGGCTGTGTAGGGGTTAAGGTCGTCATGTTGGGATTAGAGTTTCCCCATAGAAATGAATGGAGAGTCCCCACAATGATATGAATACATGGACTGTGCACATTCGTGTGTGTGTTTGTGAGGATCTGTGACAGCCTCCTTGTGTGTCTCTCTCCCCTTTGCAGCACGGGACCCGTGTGCCAACCGGAATGGGGGCTGCATGCAGGAATGCCGGAGCGATGGCGGGCGGGCGCTGTGTAGCTGCCGCCCCGGCTACCGGCTGGCAGAGGACGGCGAGGCCTGTTCAGGTAGGTGCCCGGAAGCGGGTGCACGTCACACAGCGTCCCCATGCCTGACAGGGCCTCACCCTCTGTGTCGATGGCATTTCTCTCAGATGTCGACGAGTGTCAGACGGGCCAGGCCACCTGTGCACATGGCTGTGTCAACACACACGGCTCCTTCGTCTGCATCTGCAGTGCTGCCTACGAGCTGGGCGAAGACGGCAGGCAGTGCTACCGTGAGTCTTGTTCCGGGGATGCCCTTAGCTGTGTGCTGTGTGCAGTCACTCCCGGGATTCCTGCTAAAATGTCCTATACGCATTCAGGGGTGCAATGGTAAGACAGGGTGTGTGTGTCTGTGATCAGCAGTAAGACAGAATTTGTGTGTCTGTGGAGTAGCAGTAAGACGGTGTGTGTGTCTGTGATCAGCGGTAAGACAGGGTGTGTGTGTCTGTGATCAGCGGTAAGACAGGGTTTGTGTGTCTGTGATCAGCGGTAAGACAAGGTGTGTGTCTGTGATCAGCGGTTAGACAGGGTGTGTGTGTCTGTGGTGTAGCAGTAAGACGGTGTGTGTCTGTGGTGCAGTGGTAAGACAGGGTGTGTGTGTCTGTGATCGGCGGTTAAACAGGTGCTCTGCCGGTACGGCTTGGCGGCACAGACTGAGCAGAGACTCCCCTAACAGGCATTGAGATGGAGATAGTCAACAGCTGCGAGACAAATAACGGCGGCTGTTCGCATCACTGTCAGCATTCCACCAATGGGCCGGTCTGCAGCTGTAACCATGGCTACCAGCTGGGCGATGACCTCAAGACCTGTGTGGGTAAGCAGAGCACAGCCAGTGTTGCTGGGTCCTTGATAATAATAATCATAATAATATACAAGCCTGTTATATACAACCTTTGAAGGAAGAGGGCATTAGACAAGGTGGCGTTAATGCACCATTTGTACACATTTTCCTTTGCAATTATGTTAATCTGGAGTATTTGCATGCTGGTGGTCTCATGCCAGAAAAATGTACCGTTACATGTATGTGGAGGAACATTCTTATGGCACGTTCTCACAGTGCACTGATTGGCTGGAGTGAATCTGTACCAGTTAAGTACTTTGCAGGTTTGCGTTTCGCTGCCTCTGCTGAGCTACTCAGCCTTCTTTGACTGGTAGCACAGAAGCGGAGTCACATTTCTGTCGCCATAGCGATTTGCATCCGCGTCACAGCTTCCTGGATTCACTCTCTTGTTGCTACGGTGATTCCCAGCCCGTGCTGCCTTTCCAGCAGGGGTTAAGTCCGGCTCTGCGCGTGCGTTCGCAGATGTTGACGAATGCGCAGACGGCATCGCCTGCTGCAAGCAGGGCTGCAGTAACTACCCGGGTGGGTACGAGTGCTACTGCGACGCGGGATACCAGCTCCACCTGCAGGGGTGCATCTGTGAGGGTACGGCCTCCCGTCGCATTAGGCTGCGCTCCACAGCGCCCCCATTCTCGGCTCTTGCCTTCTGTCAGGACTACTGCATCAGAAACCAGACTTAAACACAAACTATTTATTTATTTGTCATTGTTGACACACCACAGCACACAGTGCACAACAACAAAATGTGTCCTCTGCATTTGACCCATATGTGACTTTCATGACATAGCAGAGGGCAGCTAATTCAGCACCCGGGGAGCAGTGCTTGGGGGGGGTGGGTGGGTACCTTGCTCAGGGTACTTCGGTGGTGCCTTGCTGGTCAGGGATTTGAACCTACAATCTTCCGATTACGAGTGCGCTTCCCTAACCATTAAGCCACCACTACAAACTGAATGGGTGCTTACATATCACTGCTGACCAGGAAATTGCTTACTTTCTGTCACTATACATAATGGTGCATTTTTGCTACTTTCTGGAGGCACAACGTGAATAAAAACATATGCAGTACATTTTCCTGCCAGCAGATGGCGTGATCCTGGCATTCTCCTCCTCCTCCTCCTCCTCTCCTCCACTCCTCCGCTCCTGTCAGTCCACAGCAGCAGGGGTGGCTCCATATTATTTTCAAAGGAGGGGCTTGGGGGGGGGCATCTGAAGAAGAATATTTTAAACTGAGCCCACAAAATTTTTAAAAAGCCCCGTTTTCTTACTTTGGCTAAGAGCTGCATGATATCACATTGCAATTATAAGGCACCAGGGCTTTAGAAAATGAGCAAAGCATCTGTCCAGACGGCAGCCTTTCGGTGCTACGCGCACATTTACTGTACTTACACCCACAGTTTGGTAAGCAGATTAGTAGTATGGCTAAAATATTAATGAGAGCCGTATTATAACGACCAAAAGACAGTAATTTGTACAAATTCAGTATATCCTTATGTTTAATAAATGTGTCTGACTTTAAATTGCAAAAAGTACCACCACAGACGTCTTTTTCAGTTGCTCATCCACACTCCTCATCTCCGCTCTCAGAGGGTTTGTGGCTGCTGATCTGCCCCTTTCTTCACCGCCATTTCAGTTCTTATTGCTTCCATTATTTGCCGAAACAACAGCATTTGGCGCGCTCAACTTACCGAATTTAATAAGCATAAGGATACACTGAATTTATACAGCTTACTAACTTTTTTTGGTCACAACACACATCTCATTAATATTTTAAGCGGACTACTAATCTGCTTATCAAACTGTGGGCAAAAATATTGTCCGTGTACTGCTGAAAAGCCGGCGTCTGGACAAATGTTTCATGTAGGCGCCATACAATCCTGATTACATGCCAATGTGACATCGTGCAGCCTTACTTTGGCTATGATGTTCTGTTGTTTGGGATGACATCACTCAGAGCCAATGAAAATAGAGGAAAAGGGGCAGTCTGTGGGGCAGTGGACAGCTGACAGATCCATCCCTCTGCTCCAGATGTGGACGAGTGCCTGTCCGGAAATGGGGGCTGTGAGCACAGGTGCCAGAACACGCCGGGATCCTTCCAGTGCTCCTGTCGCCCGGGACACCACCTGGACGAGGACCAGCGCTCCTGCCTTCGTGAGTCGCTCTGATCCTGTCCTCAGTGCCAGTGGACACCTTAAACATTGAGGGGTTGGACTTCAGCTGTGCCGATTTGTGCCACGTCAGTGTAACATTAAGTCACGTTATTGCTGATGTTAGCTGGTCCAGGCATGCCAGCCCTAACTCGTCGTCCATGCAGTGTGTTGCCATTTTTGGTCTTTGTGTGCTGAGGTCCCCTGTTGTCTCCCCAGTCCTGGGCGGCGCTGTGGAGGCGCTGAGTAGCTGGCAGCCGGAAGAACGACCCCAGCTCCAGCTCACGCTGCTGCGGGACTATGAGCAGCCGCTGGAGCGCTACGACGACTACGAGGACGGCCTAGGAGAGCTGCGTGCAGAGAGCGTGCTGGCAGAGAAGTTTGGTGAGGGCCCATGCACACTGCTCGGGGGTCCTGGCTGGGTGTGGTCTTTGAGTGCTGAAGAGCCTGGGATCTGGGATCTGGGGTCTATATTCTTGGTCATCTTTGATGTCTTTGTCACCGGTTTCCTCTGTCTCGCTGCAGTGTGTCTGAACGGCACCTTCGGCCACGACTGCAGCCTGACGTGTGCAGACTGCTCCAATGGGGGGGTGTGCAGGCCAGAAGGGGGTGGCTGTGACTGCCCTGACGGCTGGACTGGGGTCGTCTGCAATCAGAGTGAGTCCCGGGGTTGTGGCTTGCCTTGCTAGTGATACGGATGTGATTATATAAATAATTGTGAATGTGGATAAAAATGTGAAAGTGCATAGGGAATCGTGTTGAGAATCAGGTCCTTGATAAAGTGACTGGAGGTGCACAGCTTTTGGTGGCTGCTGGGTGATTTTTTGGGCCGGTATAGGAGAATGTGCCCCCACCCCAGCAGAAAGTGTTTATATTATAGTGCTTAACAGATACCCTGACACATGCCCCCCTCTTCTGAGATAGTGGTATGTCCCAGATTATGTCGGTCATGACCTACCAGGTAAGTCCGCCGCGGGACGGGAAGGGGGTTTGGGGATGACATCAGCGGCTGTAGTTAATATTGCTCTGTCCCCCACAGCGTGTCCCGAGGGGACCTACGGGCGGAGCTGCTCCTTCAGCTGTGGGTGCCAGAACGGGGGCACGTGTGACCCGGCCAGCGGCACGTGCCGGTGCCCCCCCGGCGTCAGTGGCGACATGTGCCAGGATGGTCAGTGGGGGCAGCGGTGGGGAGACATAAAGGCAGTAACCTTTCATTTAGCATATACAGTCAGTCCTGCTGCAGTGCGACTAATGCATTCCAAAAGAACCTTCTGTTCACTAAAATCGAGTACTAAAATACACATATCCAATGGGAAAAAGAGGGTAATCGACTGCAAAACTTAAAAACATGATTTAAGCAAAACAAAATTAATTAAATGATAAAACACGTGATACCAGTAGCCAATAATGCAATGATATGAATTTTAAATAATAATTTATTTTCCAAACCGATTAACCTTCTGGGTCGTGGGGCGTCCAGAGCCTATCCTGGAAGCTGTAGGTGCAAGGTGGGGATCAGCCCAGGAGGGGGGGCCAGCCCATTGCAGGGCACACTCACACACCATTCACTCACCACTCACACACCATTCACTCACACACCACTCACACACCATTCACTCACACACCATTCACTCACCACTCACACACCATTCACTCACACACCACTCACACACCATTCACTCACACACCATTCACTCACCACTCACACACCATTCACTCACACATGCACACCTATGGGCAATTTAGTAACTCCAATTAGCCTCAGCATGTCTTTGGACTGTGGGGGGGGGGAATCGGAGCACCCAGAGGAAACCCCATGATGACATGGGGAGAACATGCAAACTCCACACACATGGAACCCAGGTCCCAGAGGTGTGAGGCAACATCGCTAACCACTGCACCACCCTTAAATAAAATTAAATAAAAATTATAATTAAATAAAAAATGTATAATAATACATTTAAAAAAAAATTTTTAAATCATAAGCATCTCCTATAGGTCTCACGAGTCTCATGAGAATTGCCTAGTAACCATTTTCACCGAACGTGCCGAACTTGCCGACGTGTCTCTTTCCGAGCGTCGGGAGTAGTGAGCCACAGCCCCCATGTGGCCGAGTTTGCACACAGCACAAATACAACGCATTACGGTGTGGGGGGGGGGCACTGAAGGGAACATGGCTACAGACAGAAAGCAAATGCAAGTGAACTTTAAGAGGTCTCTGTGTGAATTTATATGATGATTTGTCAAATATTTTTTAGATTTTTAGAACCTAAGACTTTGACCCGTGCATTGTGTGGAAGTACAAAAAGTAAAGTTCTTTTAGATTTGAAAACTGATTCGACCGATGCACTGAAAAGAACCGTCTCAAAGGAATGATTCATTTACGAATCGGAGATCACTATTGTTAACTTCGCTTAGCTGTTTTTGCATACAATCGTGTGTCTTGCTAAGATTAACTTATCTGGGAACTCTGGTGTTGATGATGTAACTAACCATTCCATTTTTCCCAGCGGGGCTCTGACGTTGGCTGGGGCCCTAGGCTATAGCCTGGGCAGTGACCCTCCCCGTGTTACTGCATGTACGTTCTGTGAGGTTCCTTTACCAACTTTGTCGCCTCTTCTTGGTTGCAGGCTGCCCCAAAGGCCTGTATGGGAAGCACTGCAATAAGAGGTGCAACTGCGCCAGTAAGGGACATTGTCACCGCACCTACGGGGCCTGCCTCTGCGACCCGGGGCTCTACGGCCGCTTCTGCCACCTGCGTGAGTCTCAGTCCCTCGGCTTGGGCCCACAGCCGGCCTGCCGCCTCGATCCCTGGGCTCTGATTGGTGGCTGAGCAGATACTAAGTCAGCAGTTATGCCGGCAGTATCATGGTGACAAACCAGTTATTTTGAAGACCCTACACTCCTCCTTCAGTCTCCGTTATATCCGACTCCTCTCTCCCTCCTCCTGCCTTTGTCCACACAGCTTGTCCCAAGTGGACGTTCGGCCCGGGCTGCTCTGAGGAATGCCGCTGTGTCCAGCGGAACACCCTGGAATGTCACCGTCGCCACGGCACCTGCGTCTGCAAACCTGGGTACCAAGGAGACGCCTGCCAGGAAGGTCAGTACAGAAGGGGGTCATACAGGGATCCAAAGGTAGTGCTTCAGGCAGTCCATGGCCCTGGGGGTTGGCAGTGTGAGCATATCCAGAAGGTCACTGGTTCAAATCCCATGGCTGGGAGAGTAATCATAGTACGTTTGTATCCTTGAGCAAGACCCTTAACCACAAAAACCCCATCTTCACTCTCACCTGTATGTCTGTTTTTTGTATGTGAACCATAATTGTAACTTTGTACAAGGACAATAAAAACCATTGTATTCTATTCTATTGTAACAGACAGTTACATATAAACACTGGCTTAGAAGTCCCAAGGGGGTCTTTAGATGGGATTAGACATCACTGGCATTGCAAGCTTGATTAAACTGATGCTCCTTGATTGGGCCCCCATCCCAGAATGCATTGCTGGGTTTTACGGCTCGGGATGCGTAAAGAGATGCGAGTGTCCACTGGGCACCCCGTGTGATCCGGTGGCCGGGGAGTGCCAGCGCCAGTGCCCTCCGGGTCGGATTGGAGCCAGATGTGAAAAAGGTGGGTCCAAACCCCAATGCATTCGTATGTACAAGGTTTCGCATTGGAATTTAACAAAATGGAAAAGTTAAGGTTACACGGGTACTGTAGTAAAATGTGCTTTAGTGTGTATAGGTCTGTATTTGGTCATAAATGGCTGTCAATCCAGCTTCACTGTTCTGGTGTCTCAGTTCACAATCATTGTGTCCTCTCTGTCACTGTGTGCAAACTCTCAGTGTCCTAGTATGACCTCATTGTGTCCTCTCTGTCACTGTGTGCAAACTCTCCGTGTCCCAATATGACCTTTCCATATCTTCTCTGTCACTGTGTGCAAACTCTCCGTGTCCCAGTGTGACCTTGCCCTCTGTCTCCTTGCAGAATGCCCAGGCGGACGTTTCGGGGTGGCATGTGCCATGCGATGTAACTGTTCGGGGTTGCCGTGTGACCAGGTGACTGGGCAGTGCCGCTGTCCTGCTGGAAAGGCCGGGGAGCGCTGTGAGGCAGGTGGGCCTCGAACCCTGCACAGCATTGCTACACTCCACTGTTACCCCTACTATTGCATTACAGCAAATGTGAGCTTTGTTCTGTACCTGTGTACCCTTGCAGAGTGTAACGAAGGCTTCTGGGGGCTAGGCTGCAGGGACGTCTGCCCCCCCTGTGAGAATGGGGGGGCGTGTGACAAACAGAAGGGCTCCTGCAACTGTGTGCCGGGATACACGGGCGCGCTGTGTCAGGAAGGTGCGTCTTCCGTCTCCCCGTCCTCCTGTCCTCTGTCAGGCAGGGTTTCCCCTTTTCGGAAAGCATGCATCCGTGTTCCAGGCTTGTGCTGGGAAGTAATTATGTGAGACAGTATTGATTATGCCAGTTTATCTTTAATTGGTAGATTTCAAATCTGGCAGGATTGGCACACTGCGTCACGGGGGTCATTGGCTGATGTTTTGTGTGTGTGCAGTTTGCCCATCTGGGCAGTTTGGTCTGCGATGCCAGCTCCGCTGTGAGTGTGAGGATAGTGGGCAGTGCCACCCTGCCACTGGACGCTGCATGTGTCTCCCTGGACGGACTGGCTTGCACTGCAGTAAAGGTGGGAATCAGTCCGTGTATTGCACCCAGACGTGCCGTCATCTGTCTCTGCACACAGGGGAGTGACGATCTGCTCCCTTCCCTTTTGCTATGGCAGCTTGTGACGCTGGATTCTGGGGCCCAGACTGCAGCAGAACCTGCGACTGTGTGAACGGCGACGGCACTTGCGAGGCGGAGACGGGCCGTTGCAGTTGCGATGCAGGCTTCACTGGGACACTCTGCGAGCAGAGTGCGTTTCCATCCTGTGCATCCCAGTGGGGTTGGAAAACCCAGCTGAGGACAGGGACTGTAATCTGGATTCTGTGGGCCCCCGGTGTGTCATCTGTCTGTGTGGTTCTGCTACAGAGTGCCCAGCGGGCTCGTTTGGACCGGGATGTCGGCACTGGTGCCGGTGTGACGGCAGTGCGACCTGTGACCACGTGAGCGGTGCCTGCAGCTGCCCGGCAGGACGGATCGGGACGTTCTGTGAGAAACGTAAGAGCGCCTCCTGGCCTCGGACCACATGCACTGCATTTGTGTACCCGTACTGTATGTCTCATTCTGCTCTCCATTGTGTCTGCATATCTTCAGCCTGTCCCCAGGGATTTTACGGGGCAGACTGCCAGCAGAAGTGCTCCTGTCTGAACGGAGCCCGCTGTGACCCCTTCACCGGGGCGTGCCGGTGCTCCCCCGGGTGGGTCGGCCCACACTGCAACCTTCGTGAGTCATACATCTTGGGCGGCCCGTTCCTCGCCCTTCGGACTGTCCCATCCATCCACATACCCAGCACTCAGATAACAAACAGACCCCCCCAGCCTGATTGGCTCTGGGCCACGTCAGCACATGGTTTCCGGGCTCCTCTTTAACATAGTGAGGCAGACGGTGATTCTAGCGTGTCCTTCCAGTCGTCATGGAATTCCTGCACAGTACCTGCTTCTCTTTGCACAATACTCTGCTTGTGTGCTGAGTACTGATTGCACTGCATGTACCTGATTCTACTCAGGATCATGCCTAAAGATTTTTGAAAAGTGGGGTAAGCCTTATAAGGGGGTCTGATTTTAATGAAGATGAATGAGAACACACTATTTACACTATTATTTACACTAATCAGTGTACATTTGTTTGGGGGAGGTTAGCTCCCCCCAAACAGCCCTAGCGACACCCCTATTTTTGCACTTTATGTTTGCATTTGTGTACTTCATGTGCCTTGTTGCTGGATGCTGCCCCCCCATCGGGATCAGTAAAGCTCCTCTTATCTATCTCTGTCCTCCTGCCCTCAGCGTGCCCCCCTGGCTCCTATGGAGAGGCCTGTACCCAGGTCTGCCACTGCCACAACAATGCCAGCTGCCACCCAGTGTCTGGCCAGTGCCACTGTGCTCCTGGCTTCACTGGGCCCAGCTGCCTGCAAGGTGAGCCACTCTCGCAGCCTAGCAGCGCTAATCTGTAGCATACCGTCGCTAACTGCCATCCGACTCATTTCCCAGCATGCTCAGTGGGATTCTACGGGTTGGCCTGTCAGCAGCGCTGCCTCTGCCAGAATGGGGGCACATGTGACCCCGCTGATGGGCACTGCACGTGCCCTGATGGGTGGACCGGAGCGGCCTGCGAGCTGGGTGAGTGACAGCGAGCCAGTGGGGTTTGTCTGTGGGACCTCACAGGTGCCTTGTGAAGCACTGATGTGAGATCAGTCGATGGAGAATCCCTGTGACACTGAATGACTTCTGATTGACACTGATTCTGACTGAGTGAGAAAGAGCACTGAGGAAATACTTACAGAAAACCTTTCTATTGCTAATCTCGTGTTACCATTGAGATTCTGATTGAATCTGAAAAATCACCGTGGAAATAATTACAGAAAACCTTTTCATTACTAATTTTGCGTAACCATTTTTGTCGGGTATTTTGCCAAAGTCTGACATGTGATTTATCGGCATAGACAGCAGAAAGATTAATGATACTCCCCGGCTTAGCATGGAGTTTGGAAACACTACCCCCCCCCTGGAAGGGCTCACGTTATTAGTAGCTGATGCTAAACATTAAATTCAGGGACCTTTGCCCCCGACGGCAACATGAGCCCCACAGCACACCCCCATTACATCAGCTGCCCCCCCCGTGTCTTGCGTTTCCTCCAGTAACCCTGCTCAGTGCCTCCCCAGCGCCGTGTCCGATCTCCTGTCAGCATTGAGCCCCCTCCTTCTCAATCGCTTCCTGTGCTTCATCACGGGGCTGGGTAGGGGGGGGGGGCATGCTGCATGTTATTGAAGTCTCTGGTAGCTGGGGAGGCCCCTCTTCTATGCTGCCAGCATCTTGCACTTGGGCAGAAGCCAGGGAGGGGGGGGGGTCTGTGTGACATGGAGACATGGAGATCATGCTGTGATGTATGTGTCGCCACTGGAAGAAAGAGGATTCCTCAGCAGCATGTTCACCCCTCCCCCCCGCGGCTCTGTCCCTGTCCCCCCCCCCATGTGCAGAGTGCGCTGGGGGCCTCTTCGGAGCAGGATGCCAGCAGCGCTGTGAGTGTGAGAACGGCGCGCGGTGTGACCCACACAGCGGCAAGTGCACCTGTGGGCCCGGCTGGGTGGGCCGGCGCTGTCACACAGGTAAGGGGGTCCACTGGGACACCCCCCCCCCCTACACTCGTAGAGCATATAACACAAAGTCACATGATATGGAAGCTTCTTCTTTATACCTCCAGCCATCATAGCAGCAACAGGGATCACATATGCTGATGCTGTATTAGTGCAGATCCACTCTTATCTTTGGTCCTGACAGGCTGCACTGTCAGGAACTGCAGTCAGGACAGGGTGGGAGGGCTGACCCCCCCCCCCCCCCCCCCCCCCCCCCCCCCCCCCCCCCCCCACCGCAGTAAGCCCTCACATCCATGCTCACTGAGACCAGGGCGATTCACTGAGAACAGGGCGATTCTCCTGTCATTGTGCTGCTTGTCTGTTCATCAGCATGCCCCGCTGGGTTTTTCGGACCCGACTGTAAGCAGCGATGCGTGTGTGACCATGGCGCCCTCTGTCACCATGTCACCGGTGCCTGTGTGTGTCCTGCTGGGTGGAGAGGTACACTGTGTGACAGAGGTCAGTCCCCACAGCCACGTCACTCCACTGCTGGATAATTGCTATTGTGATTTGTGTTACACTGCATGTTCTCCATAGGGTCTTTAGTTTATTTACTGTGTAGTATGCAAACACTATTTATCGCATGAAGGTAGTAGTAATATTTTATTAGATGTCAACCTGGTCATGTACTTATGCAGTATACTGTAAGTAGTTTGCTAAAAGTCATTCAAGTGAGTCTGAAATAGGCTAAAATGGCAACACCGTAAGAAATAGTTTAAACATACAGGATCATCCCTGCAATGCACCCCTGCAAACCCCATATTCGGAGGTGTTTTGGCGTGTTGCTTGCGCCCCCTGCTGGTCTCGCCTTCCTTCCTTCCTCCTCTGAGTGCCCTCCCTCTCTGTGTCCAGCCTGTTTACCTGGGACGTTCGGGCAGAACTGCACAGAGCTTTGCCGATGCCCCGCCGGCACGGCCTGTCACCATGTGACCGGGGAGTGCGGCTGCCCTCCCGGGCTGACGGGCAATGGCTGTGAGCAGCGTGAGTGAGCCCCCCCCCGCCCCCACCCCGTGTGCCTGTTCCCTCCTCTCTGAGTGATGTGTAGGATACTGATTACAGCTCCCGGTTTGTTTCTCCCCAATCGCCTTCTCCTTCTCCATGAAGCCTGCCTGCCGGGTACCTATGGCCTCAACTGCAATCAGATGTGCCAGTGTCCTGCGGTCAATCAGCTCTGTCACCCTGTCACCGGCCACTGCTACTGTGCGCCTGGTTACCACGGTGACCACTGCTCTCTTGGTGAGTTTCCATGTCTGTGATTACCGGCACGCACAGGACGGATTTTTACGGCAGGCCCACGTATATCAATCACATTCTCCCCCGTTGCGTCTCTCAGGGTGTGCGGTGGGTTCCTACGGGCCAGGCTGCGTGCACCGGTGCCAGTGTTTGAATGGGGGGGGGTGCCAGCCAACCACAGGGGCCTGTGCGTGCCCACCGGGATATATCGGAGCCCACTGCAACCTCAGTGAGTACCCAGCTCACGCCCAGTAATGTTATGAAAGCTAGGCATCACTGTCACAGCACATAATGATATATTATCCACAGCCTGTCCAGTGGGGCACTATGGGCAAGACTGTGCCCAGGCAGTGCTCTGTGCAGAGGGGGCCAAGAGCGACCCGGTCACAGGCCGCTGCGAGTGCGACACCGGGCGACGGGGAGCCGACTGCAGCCAAGGTCAGCGCCATCTTCCCAGCTCCGGCGAGTCTCTATGACGCAGTTTAGCATGAGCGATTTCCGTGTCTCTGCAGGCCTCTCTGTAGGCCTCCCTGCTTTTCATAGGCGTGACTTGGCCTATAAACAGTACAGAAGTGTGCAGTGCGTGTGTGTAGTTCTGAGTACTGCCAAACCTTCTCCGGCAGACTGTGCTCCAGGCTGGTTTGGGGAGGACTGTGCACAGCCCTGTAACTGTAGCAATGGAGGCCTGTGTGACACTGTCTCTGGGCTGTGTACTTGCGCACTGGGCTGGACCGGAGAGCACTGCGAACAGGGTGAGAATCACAGCAGGCCTGCTGTCACCTAGCAGAGTGTAACATTAGTCCTAACTGCGAACCCGTCACTTAACAACTCCAACATTGTCTGTCCACTGTACGTCATTTCCATTGGTACAATACTTAACCTATATGAATATCAGGTCGCACACTGCTGCATTTTGTCAGTGTCAAAAGCTGATAATCATATACTATGTATTGTGTTACACCTCAACATCCGTACCTTATAGATTGAACCTTTTTTCCAGTCTTTATATCTTACGTTCTATATGTTACCCATCCTGTTAACTCTCCTATTACATTTGTATTTATTGCTTTTTATTAAAAGTGCTGCTACTGTATATGCCACACTGTGTTTGTGACTTGGCACATAAGACATCCACTCGCTTTTGTTAGTATAAATTAAATTATAACGCCCAGTGCTGAGGGTGTCGCTCTCTCTGCAGAGTGCCCCCCAGGGAGATACGGGGCTAACTGCTCGCTGCACTGTGGCTGCCTTCACGACGGCGCGTGTGACCGTGTGACGGGCCTTTGCCGGTGTCCCCAGGGCTACTACGGCCCGCTCTGCCAGCACGGTGAGAGTGTGGGGTCTGTGTCATATCGCCGGGACCCTAACACCTCGCAGAATGCATTTAAAGTCTGGCCCCCCCTGCCTTCCACAGCGTGTCCCGCCGGCTTCCACGGCCCCAGCTGCCACCTGCCGTGTGACTGCCGCAACGGGGCCACATGTCACCCCAGCAGCGGCCTCTGCATCTGCCCCCCCGGCTACCAGGGACACCGCTGCGAGAATCGTACGTAGTTCACTGTCACCCCCCGTCTCTCACAGGTAAAACAGCTTCTGTGTAGACAGTTGCGATTAACCAAGATGAATCCTCCTCCCAGTATGTGAACAAGGCAGGTTTGGAGAAAACTGCACGCAGTCATGTGACTGTGCCGGGGACAGCCCATGTGACCCTGTGAGCGGCAGGTGTCTGTGTCCATCGGGGAAGACGGGGTCCAGGTGTGACGCGGGTAAGTGGAAGTATGAATCAACAGCACACTATGTGCTCCCTTTCCAGAAAAATCCCTCCATCCCTTGTAGGGAGCAATTTGTCTTCCCTAATGCTGTTGTCACATTTTTGTGTGCATGCGTTCAGACTGTCCTGCGAACCGCTTCGGCCCAGACTGCGCACACTTCTGCGAGTGTGACAGCAGGGGGCAGTGTGACCCTCGGAGCGGACGCTGCACTTGCCTTGACGGCTGGGGGGGCCTCACATGCAGGGAGAGTCAGCTCTCCTGGCCACAGCAGTCCCATACAGGTCAGTAGGAAAGCGCATGATCAGCTCAGTTTCAGGTCAGATGTGTCATTCCAGCTCATATCAACATACTGTACATTCTTGTGCTTTTTCCTCAGATATATCCACACAGGAGTCCTACAGAGACCGAAGGCAGAACCTCTCGCATCCAGATAATTATGTATAGCACCCCCTGCTGGCTGCACCACACTGAAAAGAGCAGAGACATTTTACATCACAGAACCGGGTTTGTAGGTGCCAAGCAGATACTGTGAAGTCACATGTGGGGTGAGAGGGACACTGGGACACAGACCTCAGGTCCTCAGCGTCAGTGGGAACGCCGACTCTGGTCCTCGCTCCTGTTTATGCTACACACAGCACCACAGCGGAGTGAAGACGGCAGGTCGACTGTGACTCCCTCTCGTGACTCTCTCTCTGTGACTCTCTCTCTGTGACTCTCTCTCTGTGACTCTCTCTCTGTGACTCCCTCTCTGTGACTCCCTCTCGTGACGTGCATGCGTGACTGAAGGCGGCACGGCCAGGATTACAGGGAGCTGAAGGGTTGCACACAGAGACAGTCCTACTGGCTGGGAAATACATATAATGTACAAGTAACTCGCAATGGGAGAGGTGGGACTTTGAAATCCACCCAGACTGATAACTAGGCTGAAACATCACAGACTGTGACTGCCCCACCCCATCTGGGTTTCAGAACCATATTTCTCCTGTTACTGTGAATGACTTTTAACTTTAAACCGTTAAAGGTTTCTTAATTCTGGTCCTGGGGATGCTAGTTCACACATTGCAAAATAGTTACCTAGATAACCTAGACTGTTGCAGGTACATTTTTGCAAATAAAGACTGACTTTTCCAGAAGCAAAAATGAAATCAAACAGTATTAACTATTACCGTAAACCAGGGATGACATTGGTCACGGTGATGAAGGTTCTAGAAACGTTTAAAGGTGACGAAAGGGATTTCTAGGGTGGCATGGTGGTGCAGTAGTTAGCATTGTTGCCTCATACTTATGGGACCAGGGTTTGAGTCTCTGCCTTGGCTCCATGTGTGCATGTTCTCCCTGTGTTGATGTGGGGTTTCATCTGGAGACTCTAGTTTCCCCCCACAGTTGAAAAACATGCTGAGGTGAATTGGAGTTACCAAACTGTCCATGTGTGAGTCAATGGTGTATGAGTGCTATAGGAGGGATGGAAAGGGTTTGTACTTCAGGGGTGTGTTTCTCAAAAGCTCCTGTTAGCGGCTTACATAGCTGGAACTGAATGGGTCCTGCTAACATGGTTAGCAGCTATGCTTCAGGGAAGAGCAGCCCAGAGCACAGCATGTTGTACTCTTGAAGATACCCCTCCATCCATCCATCCATCCATCCATCACTGTTTGACCTACTCAGGATTGTGGTATCTGGAGCCGTCTGGAGCCTATTGGGGTGGGGCAGGAAACCTCATGATGACAGGGGGAGAACATGCCAATGCCGCACGCATGGAGCCACGAACCCAGGTCCCTGAGGTGGGAGGTAACTACCGCTAATCCCCCCTCCCACTTCCAAGATGAGCGAGATGGACTCTCCTTACCTTTATGTGGCTGTGTCACAAAGACACATGGTGTTTACCAAGAGCAGGGGAGCTAAGTCATTCTACTGGAACGCAGCTCATGGGATGGGACAGCCTCCGTCTCCCGTGCGAGTGCTGGAAACATGATCAGTAATGGCCATCATGTGAGATGCAATCTACTGCATGTACCAGGTGGTGTTTTGTCATGTCACAGCGCCATTGTCTTTCCCGAGGGACCTCCGGCAATTCTGGGAGGTTTGACTGAGGCTGTATGATCTGTGAAGGCAGCCAACAGCACGATGGAAACATAACGGCCCCCCGACCCTGATGAAACACCAAGGCAACAGGATGGATCTCATGATGCTCTTTTAATTTTCATCTCATAAATACTGAAGCTGTACATATTGTCTAATTTCAAATTCAAGCACAATGCAGCTAGCAATGCCTGACAATGAAGGTAAAATAAAAAAGGTGGAAGTGAATACATCCATTCATATATACAGAGGTCAAAATATATACATACAGAAGGTATCTGACCCGTTGAGAGGAAGTAATTTCGGCAGCAATTTTTTTTTTAATAACCCTAGAAGACATCTGCAGTAAATGTAATCCTTTGTCACAAAAAACACTGAAATAAAACGAGTTCTGACAGTTACCCGCAGAACGTTCCAGAACATATAAAATACTCCCGGTGTAATGCATACCATATACAGTTGATGTTATCCACAGCACTAGTCTGGTCTATCAGTTGGTCTGTATCACTCTGGCAGGGTCGTCAGGCACGCCCCTCTCACAAAGCACCGCAGACCACCAGGATAACGTAAACCTGGGGGTTCAGAAGAATGGCCTACTGCTGTACAGGCAAGCGGCCAGACCCTCTGACAGTTTTACCTGCAGCCCTAAGAATTCTGAAGGTGAGCTCATGCTGGCTTTCACCCAACGTTCGGCCCAATCAGGCAGCAGCAATGGTTTCTCCGTCGACCAAAATCAGATATACCAATTCAGAAAGAAAGCACAAAATATTTTCCTGCCCAGCAGGGGAAGGAAGAGACAACGAGGGTGACAGTTTGACAGGCCCAAAACCATCCAGAGATAAGGTTCTGTGACGTGTGAGAACAACCAGATACCTCTAGGAGAACAAAGCTAATGTGTGGAACGTTTTGTTCCTGTGTAACTCACAGTAAAAGTAGGCTGCCTGGTTAGTGGGGACAGACCAGCAGTGAAATGTACCAGTGACGGTAAGAGACAGACTACACGACAGCCACATCACAGATGAGGACAACCTTGCCGACTGCCAGTGCAGAAGCACGGAAAATGCCTGCAAGGCAAGTCACACAGGGTCATCGCGAGCAGTGACCGGGGCACTGGGCATGGATCCACAATGCCAGCATCTTAATACTGGCCAAATTAATTTGTAATGAGGTACACTTTTTCCAGATCTGATATCCATTAATAAAACAGGAATACCTTTTTACCCACAAGAGTCTGTAAGTGCTATGAAGTATAATAAAGCTAAAGATCTGCAGGCTCTGAATGTATGACGACACATAAAATTTATGTGATTGAAAAAACAATGTCTGTGGCCTCAGGCTCAGCATTACAGACCATAACAAAAATATGGAGACTGATTAACATATAAAATACTGGTGATCAGTTACAATGGACACCATGACACACTGCTGTCATGAACACGCAGACATACGGGAAATGCAGGCCAGACAATGGCTTTCTGGGCAAAGATTCCTACTGTTCTTTCTGCTAGCAAATGGACCCAAAGCAGGGCTCACAGGATAAATCAGATTACAGGCTCAGGGTCTGGTCGAATTCAATACATTCCAGTCTGCACTGAAACATACTGGCACATTAGACATGTGTATGGAACAGCAGAGGGCATGTGACCATTCCGGCTGATTTTTTCCTGGACAGAACACGCAAAGCACCCTGGGTAAGACACTCGTGCATAGATCAGCAGTCCAACCTTCAGCGCTAAACTGACAAGTTGAACACACATAACTGGACCAAAATAAGACACCGTGCTCCTCGTAGACCACCATGGGAAGAATCAGTCTGTCACATTGTGTACAAAACAACAGTGCACACAGAAGACTGAATATGCCATTAGTTATGCTTTTATATGGCTACAGACAGACTCATTTGCTTGTTATTGATAATTCACTGTGCCCAGCTGGTGGAGCCAGAGAGCACAAAAAGGAAAACTTGGACAAGGTTACTTCGCAAAGTCAGACTGACAGAAGATGCACTAAGCAAAGGCAACACGTCAGTGCAGAACTCTTCCAACCGTAATGCTATGTCAGACCTGGATTCGTCATCACCGCTGTCATTTTTGTCAGTACACACCTGTCACGCCACTGCAGGGTTCTCATAACTTTAAACTACGTACAGTAAACTAGACCAGCCACACGGAGGAAAACAAAGACTGCACAGGGGTAACAGTTCAATATACTCCATACCGGACAAGATGAAAGTCTGACTTCCTGGGAATTCTCGTATGCTTCACTAGAGGGCAGAAAGTCCACACAAAGTGTTTGAGCTGCTCGCTAATCACTCCTCTCCACACAACGACAAAACTATTTATAACCACACAGTGATGCCCGGTAGCTTCTCCCAAGACCAAGGAGGGCAGAAGCTCCAGAAGTAAAAGCTGCTGTCAAACACGCGTCACACTGAGCACTCGACACGTCTTCGTGGATCCAGCCTCGTTCCTCGCTCATTTTTAGAACGTCCGTGCAATGGAGACGTACTTCACAGTTCATGGATGTCCACGTACCCGCAGTGGAACAACTTCTGATGGACACGGCACTCCCAGCAGAGGCGTGAGTGCGATCAGGTCCAGAGACAGCCACAGTGGAAGACTCAAATCCCTTGAGTACGCAATCAGACACCGACAATTCTTATGTTCAGAAGCAAAAGGAACATGTACCATTTAAAAAGATTCATAAATTTTTATCATATATTTATATTCATTTATGAGATATATTTCTTCTCTTACAGCTTACAGCATGACAAAAACCAATAAACACATGAAGTCGATAAGGAAAACGCCAAGGCAGACAGCAGATGAAAAAATAATGTTCCCTTTCATCAGAGGGGGGACATCAGTGAAAGACACCTCAGAAATCTTTGGCTTGAACCACATGAAATGTCACCTGTCTGAAGACAATGGTTCATCGCTAACATGACGTGCACAGACGTCAAATATAACGGCTGAATGATGACTGCGTCGTACACACTCTCTGCTTTTGCTCCTGACCTACACGCTAACAAGCCAACTGTCTCACAGCTCAGAACACGACCCCAGCAGCCAGTCTGCTCTCCCTGAAACAGTTACTGACAACTGGGCTCCCACTGGTGATATGTCATTTGCGTTTTTCAGTGACCAGCTTTCATACAGCTGAAGTAAATCCAGGCCCAGTGGTAAAGAGGTATATAACACAGTCTTCTGGTGGTTTACTGTGTTGACTTGGATAATTCCTTAAAAATCACTTTGTTTCCGGTTATGATGAGAGATGCATTGCAAATAACTGAAGAATTCACTGGTGGTACGTCTACTGTAAAACCAGCACTGAATCTAATCCTGCTTTAAAGACACACATCACACCACAGTGGTTAAAGCATTTTATAAGCATTTCTTAGCTAGAGAGACATAGATAAAACTCGTCGTCACTTGTAAATTGCGCGACTTTCTGATCTGGTCAACCAGGCTTTTTACGTGTTAACTGGCAGCAAAATAAAACGGCTGTCAAAAGCATCTCACCCAAACCACACTGAGTACCAGGTTAAGACCAGGTTTTTTCAGATGTTTTAAAAAGAGACACAGTCTCTGCTTCCACAGCCGGCCGCACAAGGAGGCCTCGTGGATTGAGATTCAGGCCTGCGCCTGGCCTGGTGTTTCCCCGATGCAGCCACAGTGTCGGAGGGGCGGGATGACGACGGAGGGTCTTCTGAGCGCCGAAGGCCTCTCGGCTCATCATCTACATCTATCCATCTGAGAGAAAGCCGTGAGCACGGGACTAGCAGACAGGGAGCCGGGGTGGCCCAGATGGTGACATGATGGCCGAGGACGTGCATTTCTCAGAGACCGCAACACAAACGGGAATGACTGCTTATAGTTACAAGTGCAACAGATCATTCGCTGTTTCTATATTGACCTATGTTCCATTTTACCATTTTATGCATACAGTATTTTAAAAAGGCCAGAAAGAGGAGGAAAAAATAAATCAGAAAGTTTATTTTGACTGCCAAGCAAGCGTGTGCAGTTTTTTTTTTTTTGTATTTCTCTTCTATGTCGAAAACACGTTTCTGCTGAATTTGAGTGACGTATCTACGAGCGCTTGTCCCGCGGAGCTCTCATCAGCCGCTCCTCGCGGCCCCCCCACTACCCCCCATGGGTTGGACTCGTCAGCCGCTGGCTCTAAACGATTCCCCCACCGGGGCCGAGGCTACGCGGGTCTTCTGCGCCGGTCTCTCATTCGGTAAAAGCTCAAGCAAACAGTGGGAACAGGCAAGGGTGCCGAGCGGAGGTCCCCCGGCAGCTTAGGATCGGTAGTCCTTTTTACTGTAAGGCTTGTTTCCCAGGATGCTGTCCACCTCGTGCACGATGGACGAGGACAGCTTCGGAAGGACCTGCAAGGGCCGGGGGATAGGGTGTGATTTTCAAGGTGACAGGCTGAAGGATCATCAGGAAGCATCTTTGCATCATCGAGGATAACAGGACGGTGAATTTTAAAAGCAGATATGACAGGGTGCGCGCACACACACACACACACACACACACACACACCGGAGCAGAGGGGTACAGGGATGGCGAGAATGAAGACAGGAACAGCCATTGCACAAAGATCTCTAAACATCTCAAAGCCCATTAGAGGAACAGCTACTAAAAGGCAGCTACTTGCTCTCACTCTCGCCAGCCAAATGACCCCATTAGCTCTAATCACAAGGAGTGGCATCATGTTCCAGTAAGCTGGCAGTCAGCATTCTGATTCATTCTGTTATGGGGGGGGGGGGAAGTGAACAGCACATCAGCGCATACAGTATCGCCTGACCAGGGCATCACACAGCACATACGCATGCACACACACACAAACACACACGCACGCACGCACACACACACACACACACAAACACACAAACTGCATCTGGAAAAAAAAGGCTGTTAATGCACACAATGAAATTTCCTGAACTGCACCATGTGACCAGAAGACTGACGCACAGGCCTTACAGGGGGGTGAAAACAGCGTCCTTATGCAGGGAAACACACACTGGGATGGACACACGATGGTACACTGCACACCCTGTGACCTCACCTGTATCGCTCCTATGTTCTCCATCAGCTGGTCCGTGTTGGATGCCCCCAACAGCACAGAACTCACGCCCTCGTTTCGCAGGCACCACGCTGTGGGGGGGCAGCGGACAGCAATGACGCCTCACTTACTGACACACCCCCCCTCCCCCCCCACAGGAAAAAAAACAAACACAAACATGCCAATGCTGACGGCAAAAACAAAAAACAAAAAACATTGAGTGCCTGAACAAACCCAGACAAAACATCCCACAGACACAAGAACACGGACGGAGCCTTACAGTAAGGACAGCCTCCCTTGGCTACTTTGGTTTTTGATGATCAGGACGACCGCAAAAGTGTTTCTATCCAGAGCCACAGACCAGGAAGGGGAGAGCATGTGATTGGACAGATTCTCCCAACAAGCAGAGAAGAGCATGTGATTGGGCAGATGCTCCAGACAGGAAGAGGAGAGCACAGGGTAGCATGGACACTCCGGCCAGAATGAGCGAACACTCCCACCAGGAGACACGCTGAGCAGGTCAGCCCAGTGGGAGTGCAGACGCCTCCCTCCGAGCCTGTGTGCATGGCTGTTCACCCTCACATGCCATCCTGCAGGGCCGCCCTGCCGCTACCCCGACCTCAAGAGTCTGTTATGTTGGAAGGGCGTGACCACATGCGGCCTGACCACGCAACGTGCAATTCACAAGCAACTAAACGAGGTGATGCTTCCGGAAAAGCCTGTAGCTGTCACAGCGACAGGCTGAGTAAAGCACTCAGTGAGTCCCCCCCCCCCCCAGTGGTGTCAACCCAGCTGACGTGACTCACTGTGTTACCTGCTGATTAACACACTGACTCAGGAAGAACCTCCCTGACACATCGGCTCCGGGATAATTTGTTTCCCCACTTTATCTGCGTTGCCAATAAACTGAGAAGAAAGACAGGCTGGTATTGAGGCAGATAATGAGGTGTGAGTCATTCTCAGGCCATGCTGAGCTCTGTGGAGGAGTCCCAGAGGTCCACCTCTATCTCAAGTTTCAGATTCCTCCCCCACTTGTAAAATAAAAAAAAATAATAAATAAAAAAAAAAAACCACTATGCTTGACATTAACGCACACTTCCATACTGCACCACGGACCACATGACTTTGCATTCCTCCGCAATGCAAGCGGTATTTAATCTTTTCAGTTTAAAGGTTTCACTGCACCCCCCCACACCTAGACACACATCGCTACCCCTGGCTGCAGTTCAGAGAACAGGCGCACGGACTGGCTGGGAGTCATACACACCCGGGCCGCACCTATCACAGGAGGACCAAACAAACCTGCCATTCTCAGTTAGCTTTAATTAAAACTCCACCACTGCCTACAATAAAAAAAAAAAACTGCAGCCATGCATGACAGCATCAGCGGTATAACGGGCTCTAGTCCGTAAGACCAGGCCTTGTGTACAGTATGATGCAAAATAGCCAACTTAAACAAAATAACTGAAAGAAGCAAACTTGAAGCTTAGTTGGAAATATCAGACTATTAAACGGAGAAAGCGAACGATTTTACAAGCATAAATGGCTATTTGGAATTCTCCACCTCAGAAGTTATCTATAGGTAACATGACATCTCCTCCAATCGAGCATAATTATTCCAACACAACATCTCACCATTATTAAAACAATTTTAAACCCCTGGATGAACCCACCACTATCTATTATAAGGCATACCACAGCTATCAAAATTACCATATTACCTAAGGCCAATTACATATCTGCAATGACTTCAAAGCAGCCCACAACAATAGCGGCTCAATACATTATGCAGCTTAACCAAAAAACATTTAAGAACCAAAAATCTATAAAATTATCAACATTAAAAAAAATCACAAATCATAAAGACCAAAACAACTCCCATTTAACTATAATCCCAGTCTACGATTGATTCAGTGTGTGATCCTTCATAGAAGGTACATTACACAACATAACACAAGTGCACCGTTGACAGCAACACTCGTGCTTCCCAGACATGCTCACTAGTATAGTTCTGGCAGGGATCACCACCGACTCAGCCACTTCTACACAAGCAGGACCTCTGAAATAGAGCCCGCAAGCAAAGATTCACTTTAACTATCCGCAAGAAAGCCATCCTTGTCATCTGAAAAAAACAAGACTACCTCTGACATAATGGCAGTTTACCAGCAGAACATATTTCACTTCAAAAACAAACAGCCTCATGCTGCAACTAAACTGTAAAAGTCACTAAACCTTGACCTAAACAAGTTCAATAAACAAGTAGTTTAGCTGCATACATACAATAAAACTAATTTACATACCAGGTCCCTTAAAGGGGACAAACAAAAACATGGTTTCTGGCCTAAGACCTGTTGTTATCAGTAATATGACTGTTTTTATCGTATGTAGACCTTTCAAACAAAAGAAACAAGTATCAAAAGCCTGTTTCCTCTATGCCTGCATCCCTGCTGCTCTGTCTTTCTTGCTTTGTCTTTGGTTTTGATCTGGTCCATTTAATGCTTAAATAAATAATGGCAAACGGAAACGTTAAAAGCGGCCGTCTGCTGCTGTTTCACGGAACCATGCCAGTGGCTCAGATGCGCACATCCCCGCCGCCGCGGGATCTGACGCCTTCTCCCAGACGCTGGCCAGACAAACGAGACACAGCGATGGGGACGGACAGAGCGAGCGGAAGACGGACGGACGGACAGACAGACAGAAAGAGAGAGAGCGGCAGGGCGGCGCGTACCGATGGCGAGCTGGGGCAGTGTGCAGCCCAGCCGCTCCGCGATCGCCTGCAGCTCTTTCAGCTTCGCCTGCTGGCGCCGGCCCTCCTCGCTCAGGATCTTGTCCTTCAGCCATTGGTAGCCCTGTCGACACACGGCACGCCTGCTCAGGGACGGGCCTACTTGCCCAAGAGCGGACCGGTACCAGGCCCTGGGGACCGAGGGTCTTGTCGAGCGGCCTGGCTTTGCTGCAGCCCCAATGCGACCCGGGATCGATCACAAAGAGGCTCCTTTCTCCGCAACCCCTTCCGCACGCAGGGCACTGATCTCCAGGGCTTTCTCAGAGCACACACACGCAACACACACACACACCATACACAAAACACACACACACACACAGCACACGCAGGCAACACACATAGTACACATACAATATACACAATACACACGCGACACACACATCATACATAAAACACACATACAAGTACATACACACACAAGCAACAAATACAGTACACACACAACACACACATACACACACACACAGGCAACAGACACAGAATACACACAACACACACACACACAAGTACACACACACGCAACACACACGCAGGTCTGAACAAGTCCGTGGGAGGAGGAGGAGGAGGAGGGGAGCGGGCCGCGAGGCAGTACAGCAGACATGCAGCCACTCCGCATGTAAGATACACAGATATTTTTAAAAGCAGAGCTCTTCCACGCTAGTCCCCGGTGTGTGATTTTCACAGCTCAAGTGTTTGACGAATTCTGTGCTAAATTCACATCATAATCAAAGTTTGTCCAACTTCTACATTTCAGTGTATTATTCATCATAATTACATTTTTCCTTCATTGTGCCATTAAAACGAACCATTCGCTGTACACTAAGATTATATCACTGCCAAAACACGGCTCATACCAGACACTACAAGAGCGAGAATCCCGTATTTATATAAATGAATGATAAATAACTGATCTGAAATGCATTAGTGTTTAGGCTTGAACTGAATACACCACTGATTGCCTGGATCTCAGGACATCACTGTGATATTTACTCATCGCCAGCGAGAACACCTTCCGCAGTGTGTGTGCATAGATGCAGTGAGTGTGTGTATAGATGCAGTGAGTGTGTGTATAGATGCAGTGAGTGTGTATACAGGTCTTTAGCAGTTTAACCCCTCAAACCCTGGATGACAGGAAGCTCTCAGGCCTGGAACACAGGTGAAAGTTCTGTTAGGGCACTCAGTACCACACAGGAACAACAATAACAACAACAACAACAACAGGTATCAGTGAGAAGACAAAGGAATATGGGAGAGTAAAATAGGGGGGTCTGTGGTACCTTCAGGGAGGCTCGTGAGTAGGGGGGAACCCCACTGTCGTATTTCCCTGAGATGATCCCACAGGCCAGTGGGGACCACGTCATCGCACCGACGCCTGGGGAGAGAGCACTACTGTCACTGACCTGTGTCCAATCGGGGGGTGGGGGGGTTGGGGATTGCACGGCACACTCACCAATCTTGTGGAAGAGCTCTGGGAGCTGCACCTCCACCTTCTCTCTCTGAAACATGTGGTACTCAGCCTGCTCGCAGATGGGGGGGATCTGGTTGAACTGCCGTGCCACGGAGTACGCCTCCTGCAGGAGGGCGAGGGAACAGCGGCCCTGAGCTCCCAGGTGACACGCTACACGGAACACAGCTCCACGCGTCCGCCAATTTATGAGAGTTATGGTAATAATCAAAGCGGTTTAAGCATTAGCATTCGCTGAAATCAATCACACTGCGAATGGCTGATGAGAGGCCTCACTTCTGGATCTTAATTTAAACATCCAGCTGAGTTATCTGACGAGGCTGGAGAATAAGGGCTCACCATGATCTCCATGGGACTCCAGCGGGACGTGCCCCAGTACATAGCCATTCCCTGATTGATCACGTGGGTCATCGCTCGCACCGTCTCTGCAACGGCAAAGGGCAAACTCATCACGATGTGGGCGGGGCAGGGCAGGTGTTGCCGTGGAGACAATGACGGAAAGGTGACAGGCGTCGCATGAGAAATACTGTAATAAAAGGACGCTGCCAAGATTCGAAAGTAGTAGGATATTGGAAGAAACAAAATGGGACAAAATCTAATCAATTTTATCGCTGAAAACCTTATGAAAAAACACAGGGCTGGGTGGGCCAGACAGGAACTCAGCTCTTAGGTGCCTGAAGAAATCCACTGTAAGCTGCCCATTAGGATAATGCAGCTAAGGTGGCGCAAAACTCGCCCTCCCCAGCCAGATGCCGTGTAACGCCGGGCGGCCAGGAGTGTGGCGGCACCCGCAGGTGCCATGCCAGCTGCAGCCGTAGGTGAAGCACGGCGCTCTAAAGCGAATGTGCGAAATATGAAGCACCGCGGGTATGACTGAGCGTTTTAATTGCTGCCCAGGGACGCCGTGGGTTTCCGAACAGTGCCGACAGGGAGAGCGAGCAGCCGGTCATTTTGCTACATGGGGAGATCTCCTTCCGCAATTTCCGGAAAGCTTAGAAATGGAAATCGGCTGGAAAATCACAAGGAGGCTGGAGATCAATCACACAACCCTACGAAGTGTGCCAGAGGACGCCCCCCCCCCCCACCATCCAACCCCCCACAAACGCACGACTCTCGAGAAATGGACATTCACAATGGACATTTTTCTTGCAAGATACATTTGACCCTAAAAAATAAACTCATTTTCCCATATTAACCATCCAGGCAAGATGCCCGCTGCCCTGTCCGGGGTACCGGACCTCATGCAGTAAGCATTCCGCACTTCAGCAGTAGTCCCACGCAATGCAAGCAAAGTTCACAGCAGGAAGTGTGATATCACCTTAGACAGGAACAGTGTTTCCAAGAGACAGTGGCCCCTTACTGGGAGAACACCACAGGAATCCAGCAGACTCACACACCATGGAGCCACCGATCAGCATCAGGGAAGCTGTCACAATGTGTCACCATAACTTACATCAACCAGGCCTGCGTGTGCAGGTCAGCCACTCGGCAAACTAATCTGTCTCTCATACCGATACAAACTGTCAAACATCAGAACCATTATCTTGGCACTAAGACTACAAACTAGAGTCCTAACCGAATAAAGAGCCCTGGTTACGTGTTTGTGTGCCACGAACGTGCCTTTTGGGACACATTCACCCCAGGTGTCACTTTTGGAGACACTGCAGCCCTATATCTGCTTTGACAAACCCAGCAAAGCAGAACAGCCACAAGTGGGCACTGCGAGTAGACAGTGTGCCGCACCACTGCATGCTGGACCACATCTGAGAGCTCAGCCACTTATCTGGGAGAAATAAAGATGTATTTCAGGCGCAACTGGACCGGGACCAAGGATAACAGAGACACCAGCAGCAGGTCTTCAGCGGCGAGCATCTGGGATCGCACCTCTGCAGAGGCAGCTGAGAGGCTGGAGACGCCAGGGGGGGGGGGGAGGCACTACCATGCTCCGGGGAGAAATTAAACTTCCATCTCAACCGCACAAGTAAACAGCAGACACACAGCGATGTGTGTGGGGGGGTGAGATTATAAAAGGGTGAGCTAGGAACAGATAGTGAGAGTGTGAGAGAGCGAGAGAGAGAGAGAGAGAGAGAGAGAGAGAGAGAGAGAGAGAGAGAGAGAGGGCCGTTC